AAAAGTGAAACAAACACGATTGCGCGTTTCCCGGGAACACTCAGTTCTGAACCTAGCCTAAGTTGGTAGTGCTGAGCGCTGACTTGCAGCACAGTGTTCAGCAGCGGTTTGCTAACTCAGGACTCGCAGTGGCTGAGCAATTGAGAATGCCACAGGTCTAAGGCCTAGTTCACATCATCCCCCGGCCGGATTGTGGCTGGAACGTACTGGATCGCATTGTTGTGGGGTGGGAGGGGGCGTGGTGGTCCATTGAAGTGAATGGTGCCATAGCCACACCCTTCGGCCGCACAGGAATGCAAGGCACATCAATGCCTGCATTTACACGACCCCTCCCGCTCCACAACAAACTGAGCCGGCAGCAATGCGATCCAATGCGTTTTGGCCACAATCGGGCCAGAATGCACTGAGGATGGTGTGAACAAGGCCTTAGACTTCTGGAAGTTAACATGTTTCAAACCGCCATGCGGCACCTGACTATTCAGCTTCACCTTCATCACGGTGACCTTGTCCTTTAATCCCAAATGACTGTGTCCAATAAAATGTACTCCCAATTGGGGCTCATATTAGGGCAGCATGAGCAAGTCCATTGTTTACAATTGTCTGCTACTTCTGCTGTATACTTCAGTATGGGGCACCTGACCTGCTGTATGCCATTCAGGTCAATTCAAATTAAGTCTTTAAAATAAAGAAATTAAAAAAAAAAAAGCATCTAAATAAGCATACAGAGGATTTAAAGTCCTTTTTATTCCCAGTATTATGATCTCTATAAGTCATAATTAAAAAACCGGCAGCGATGCCTGTTAACATACAAGCCATCTGCCGGCAGTAGAGCCGGTGGATCGCTTGTATGGGGTCCTGGTATGCGCGCCCCCCTCCGCGGCTCCCCCCCTCCCGCTGTCACACTGATCCCGGGCTCTGCTGTGCCCGGTGCGAGCCCGGGAACAGCATAGTGCCTCTGACGGGATTAGAGGGAGGTCGGTTCACGATCTCCCTCTGGTCCCCTCTCCGCTGTCAGAATGGGGAAGTGGTGTATATTACATCACTTCCGCATTCTCGTGTCACTCTCCAGCTTCAGATGCTTCCCCCAAAATTTTTTTGAAGTTACACATAAAAAGAATTAACATTTTCAGGTGCGCATACCTGTGAAAACATTGATTGCGCCCATTACGCCGCATATGTTACATATCGCCGCGAACGTTGCAGTTAGAGCAATAATTTTAGGGCCATTAATCACTGATAACACTAAACTGATGAGCTGTAAAAGCTTTTAAAGCGTCGCCTATGGTCAATTTTGGGCATGCTAGTTTTTTGCGAGTGCGCGCAATTTTTAAGCTTGACTTGTTTGGTGTCTATTTACCCGACGTGACCCCATCTTTTATATTGTACCAAAAAGTTGGGTAATAAATGTTTTAGAATTTTATATAGGGGAAATAGTTTTTTACAAAAATGTCTGTAAATTTTCCTTAATATAGTAAAAAATAAAAACCCCAGTGGTGAATAAATACCACCAAAAGAAAGCTCTATCTGTCCCCAAAAAATGGTATAAAATTAATTTCAGTACGACGTTGCATGATGGAATAAATGTCAGTCAAAGTATCGCAGCGCTGAATACTGAAAAATGGCCTGGCCAGGAAGGGGGTCTAAACACCTGGTCTTCAAGCGGTTAATATTGATTTGATAAACATTTGCGCAATTATCGCAGGACCTAAAAAAATTAGTTGCACTGTCTTTTTATTCTGCTGGGCCTGTGCTTTCAGAAAATGTATGGTTTGGGGGGTCTTTTACAAATGCTAAAAGCTGCAGTTGAAAATGAAAAGGGGGGACATTGCAAAAAATGATCGTGGCCAGCTGAGGTTGTGTTGCGGGGGGCTTGGCAGCGAAAGGGTTAAACCACATTGGAAAAATGATCTTTAAATTCTAATGTGTCTTGTCACCAGTTAAGGCCATCATTGTGTCTTCTAGGTACATCTTGGGTAGTCCCTGTCCTATAATCAGACACGTTACTAAGGCCGGGTTCACACCTGGGCGTTTTACAGCGCTGATCGACGCGCTGTAAAACGCTCAAACAGTGAAATCCCATACTTTCCTATGGGCATGGTTCCCACCTGGGCGTATTTCAGCCCGTGGAAACGCGCTGCAAAACCCCCTACGCCCAAACAAGTACAGGAGCTTCTCTGGGGCGTTTTTCCGCGCGTTTCCATTGGTCTTCCCGAGTGTGGCTCGGGGTAACAAAGCGGTAACCCCCGAGCCACACTCGGGAATACAGCGTAGGACTTACCTTGTCCGCGATCCCCGCTATGTCCTCCGGCGGCTGCTGACTTCCGTGTTCTGTCCCTTGCGAGCGGCCGAGTCGCAGGGTGTGGAGCCGGCGGGAAGTTTGAAAGTGAATTTTTTTTTTTTTTAAATAGAGAAAATAAGGGGGGAAAAAAATCATACCGCCAGTGAAACGCGCATTTCACTGAACGGAAAAACGTGCTAAAAAACTAGCAGAAAAAATACGCCCAGGTGTGAACCCAGCCTTAGGAAAAGATGGATCTGGTTACATTTCAAGCACCCACTAGTAATACAATGTTTTGTGTACAGGCATGACACTAGATATTCATAGTTGGGCAGATATGGTTATCTGACTAAATCTATTAGCCTCTCTAGGCCTAAACAGGTGGGATCTGCGCTCGTGCCGGTGGGTGTGGGGCTGTGCTGTGCCGGGAAGGAGGAAGAGGCAATGTGAAGTCGGACAGGCTATCAAAGACAGCTGCCTCAGGACCCCAGGCAGCTGAACTTCATGAAAGAATTAAAGGGCCAGTATCAGCCTTTAGTATTGGGGCATTTTCAGGAGAACAAGTACTCCCTGAAAATGCCCTGTATCGGCCCAGATACCTGTATCGGTATTACCCTACTTCTTTGTCTTATTAAAGTACAATTAAAGGTTCATTTTATGACAGCCTAAATAAAGTACCAAATCCAATTACTATGAGATGCACAGGACTCAAAAGGTTTACAAAAACTCCATCTTTCTCGATTTAAATCCTACATTGTGTCCCACATATTCTCCTCTCAGATACTGCAGCTCACAATGGGAGGTTTTTATCAAGAGAGGCTATGCTGTCAATTCAGAGAGTGAGTAGGACTAGGTGCGGCCTGGTGCCAATTGACACGTTATAGGCTTGTGAATCGGCAATTAAATGAAAAAAGACCAGCAGTGCACTACAAGGTACACCCGGCTGAGAGATAGTCCAGTATGGAATGAGGATACTGCAGGGATAATCATCTGGGTGTGCTGCTTGAAATGTAGGTAGAGGATAAGCATTGGAGGTAGACCTTAGGCAATGCGTGAACACAGAAGGTGGAGAGATTTAGTTCTTCTTTAATGACACCCCTCTGAACACTACAGGTGAGTGCTGTGTCCCTCATTATTCAGGGCCAATTATGTATGGGAATATATTTTTCAGTCTTGAGAAAGTGTTAATAGTTACAAAACCCTTGCCAACTATCTCAGCGTAGATGGTTTATGTATTTAAAGGAGAACTATGAGATGAGTGATTTCCACAGCTGGCTCTGCCTCTAGATAGCCAGAGTACAGCTGTACAGCTGGCTCTGCCTCTAGATAGCCAGAGCCAGCTGTCACGCAGCTGGGCGGATCCCATCATCTACGTCGGGATCCGCTCCCGCTGCGGCGTCTCAGTATACCGCAAGCTCAGTATACCGCGAGCTAGTTTGTGTCCTCCCGTTACCCTAAGGAGAACTATGGGGAAAAACACTGACCCCATAGTTCTCCTTTAAAGAGGAACTTCATCTGTCTATCTCAGACTAAAAGTCAGCAGCTACAAGTACTATAGCAAGGGTCCCTATAGGAGTTTCAGCTTTAGATACACTTCAGTGTTGCAGACACGGCAACTTCTTATATGTTTAGGTATTAGCTACGTATAAATATCTTTGCTTTGAAATGCATACTGGATGTATAGTTGATGTGTTCATAAGAAGTTGAACCTTCATAAGGCCTGGTTTACACTAACCATATTGTCACAGCTGAATAGGCGTGACAAAATGCTTCACAAGAAAAAAAATCTAAGTCGTTCTTATGGCCCCTTTTCACACCCGGGAGTTTTGTTGCAATAAGCAAAACGCCTGTCGCTGGAAAAAGTACATGAGCTTCTTTTTGGTGGCTCACAGCTCGTTTTGTCCCCCCATAGAGTCAATAGGAAAGGCTTGGAAACACTCATTGCAATTGTTGTTGCGTGTTTTTACATCAATGCGTCACAGTCTGCTCCTGAAAATGCGTGTGTGTTTGCGATTCTACTCGTGAAAAAGCTGTTGCCTAGGTGTTGATCAGGCCTAAGGTTGTTTCAGCAAAGGGCTACAATCTCTATGAATCTGCTGCCACCTTGTGTCTAGTAGGTGACATTTATAAAGTATGTAAACCTCAACAATGAACTTGTGTTATTTGCTCCATTTTTGTTCTGCTAAAGTAGAACTTCAATTGTTTTGGTTTTTATTTTTAAATCCTCCCATTCCTGCCTATAAAATAGAAAAATAAATTACTGCCAAACTCTACCCAACCTCTCAATGGTTCAGCACTGACCCCAGCTTCCTCCTCAGTCCAGTGTCATTCCGCTCTTTTCCTGTGAGCTCTCATCACATCTTTATGCAGTCTGGGCTCACAAAACTCCAGAACCGAGCGGCGCACACCCAATGTGCCGGTCAGCCCAGGAAGAATTCCCCCTCCCCAGTAAGAGTAGGAATCTGCCATGATGTTACTTGTCTGGCTAGAAGGTTACAGGAAAAGGGGGCATATAGGGTATTTGTTTTTCAATAAACAATGCTACTGGGAGGGGGGGGGGTGCTTTAAATATACCATAGAATGCATTTTGTTATCTGTTCATTAAGTGCAAAAGAAATTGCCCTTGCTCTTGAAATTTGGTGCTGTCCAGTGCACATTTCCTGTCTTATCTCATATGTTTGTTTTTGTTTTTTTTGGCCTGACAAATACTTTAATTCAGCTGTTAGCCGCCCCTTCCAACATGTCCTCCAAAAGCCCTGTGAGCACCAATGTCCAGCAGGCCAGTTTAGAAAAAGACTGTGTGCCTCATCATGACAGTGATGATGAATATGAGGAGGAGGTAAGAGAGAACCATTGGCACTTGTTTTGATGAAACTTTTTAAAATAAAGTTGTTTTGTTTTTCTCATGTTTTTCCAGATTTCTCTAATAAAATTAAACTTGTGTTGCCTTCAGTATTATGCTTGGAATCATGTAATGTATTCTGTCCTGTCCTGTTGCCTTTTGATTTTTGTACTTTGAATCTCTGATCTGAAATAAGCATGCGGTTTTGACTCCTGAATTGCTTACTTGTTGCAGTTTAATTAAAGAGTAAGCATGACAGCCAAGCAAGGCTATATTTTTCAGAAGGACATAGGCTTCAGCAGCACTCATTCCAGGTTTTCTTTTAAATATGATCTAACATATGAGATGACAATTACTTCCATTGCTGACCTCCTCTTAAAGTAATTTGCCTTGCTGTGATGTTATCCCTTTCAGTCAATAATGGAGAAAAAGAATGTAGCAAGTGAGATCAGAACTTATAATCTGCTTCTCTGGGTCAGAAACTGAGACTGTATTGTAGACAGAGTTGGCACGACAATCGGGGAACTAGTATCTTCTGAGAAGTCAGCAATGGCAGCCTACGTATTTTTCCCATGACACGTTTGGTTCAGAATTACTTGCATATATGCTGTTGTTTAACTGATGTTTTGTTTTCATGTCCTTTTTACAGGAACACTTGGTGTCGGTGGAATTAACAGGAATCATAGATTCAGACATTTTAGAAAAATGCAACAACAAATGTAAAATTCTGGTAAGATGCTTGTGGACTAGGCGATAATGTGTTGAGTCATTTTAATTCATTGTGTGTTTGCTGTCTGTCTGTTCTGCTATTAAAATGGCATCAGTTCTCCCAGGTAGACTTGCACACAGTTACAGCTCTAGCCAGTTCAATCCTGCACTTATAGAGATACACTGTACATTTTTTTCTTCATGGGGGGGTCTGGATGTGGTATTGAAAGGGGAATAAATCTCTCTTAAAGCAAAACGGATATCTTCACTTTCAGCTTTACCATCCTGATAAGTTACTCTAAGGTGATATCAAACTATTTAGATTATAGTTTGCAGCAAAATATATGGGGGTATGCAAATTACATTAATGTTTCTTTGGGAAAAATGTTGTGTGTGAATAAGCCACAACGCTCTTTCCTTTTATCTGTTGTGTGCTTCTATCATCTAATGTGTATAGATGTCACCAGCACACCAAAATACCATGTGTTCTATATGGTTCATTGACTTCAGCAGCTGGAACGCAGTGTCATCTACTGGTGTAAACCAGTACTGCTGGCAATTTGTATAGCAGTGCAAAATGCAAACCATTATCTGTTAATTAAAAGGTACTAGGACATCATGGCTTTCAGGTAAAAGCGTGGTCTCGTATATCTACTATTAAAATGTCCATAGAAGAACACTACTACAAACATAATACTGAAAACTTTAAAGAATTTATACAAACCAATGTCCAATATATAATGCCTTTAATAAAATATAATTAGTAAGTCAACATAGAAGGTGGTATTGATATGCATATATACATGGCAATATTATGGTTAACACCAGTATTGGATCAATTAGAAAGATGAATAATCAGTGCTAAACCACCTTTGACAGATCAATTAATGAATATAGAATGCTAAATAATCGGTAAAAAAACCACGGTAATAGTAATAATTCACATGGAGTGGATGACAAAACACCCGGTTAGATGACAGTGTTGTCTATAGGTGTTCTATTTACATAGAGTAATGGCAATCTGCAGTGACAATTCTCTAATATATATGAGAACCTATTCGCCAGAATTAAAGAAAATACCAAGAGGCTTCAGAATTGCCAATCAGTCTACCGTTGGGAGAAATAAATATGAATTCTTTGAGCGCCTGTGTGAGGTCGCTATTACAAAACGCTTTGAACTTCATGTTATTGGTGATTGAGGAGCTGGAGGTACACCTCTGTCAAGTAAATAGAGAACTAACGGCTCTGGAATCATCAATCCGAGAGAAATATACTAATACAGAATCCCTATCTCTTGAGAACGAAGTCACTACTTGTACAGACAGACAGCGTCAGATGAAACAGGATAAGCTTTGCCAGGTTAATCTTGATTATCAAGAAAACCCCTTGCTATCTGTAGCACACGTGGTCGGCCTAGGACCTTCAACAGAATGAAACCTGTGCGACAACAGAGACAAGCGATGGCAGCTTCATTCAGTCGTGAGAGACCTATTGAAAGTGATTCTAGCGTACCAAGAGGTTCTACTGCACAAAACAGAGAATCCCGGAGGGGACATAAGACCCAAGACTCATAGAAACCAGATCCATCAACAGCAAAGGGACGACCACCATGGAGAGTCCGGTGATTTAGCCTCTCTTCACGCCCAATCACGGAGGGCAAGTGCTGCCTCCTGTCCAAGGGGCTTTCTTTCTGTCCTACGAATCAACCTAATGCTTTCACCTTTTGAAGTAGAAATGTTTTAAGTTTGAAAGATCACTAAAACAACACTTTTCCACACACAGCCCCCTGCCATATGCACAGGTCCCCCATTTAGATTAAAGAGCCGCTTTACTCCACCGGGACAGTTTCAATCAATCAAAACTGTCACCCGTACTATCAAATATGATGTATTACAAGCTAATCATAATGCTAAGATGTACACCAACATGTCCAGGGAGGACAGTGATGTATTGTCATCTTTAAAGAATGACACGGCTATAATTATTAAACCTGCTGATAAGGGTGGGGCTGTGGTGATTATGAACTATTCTAACTACTTACAAGGTATGATGACATTATTATCGGACACTACCAGCTACGAAGTATCAACGCATGGTAAACTCTGTAATTTACACATAGGATTACAATCCTTCATTGACATGGGCAGAGCCAATGGATGGCTTAATGACTCTACTGCTGGCTTTCTGTATAACGAGCATTCACGTTTCCTGGTGTTGTATGGATTACCAAAAGTGCATAACGGTATCTTTTGACATTCCGTCCAATTGTGTCTGGCTCCGGTTCCATTACACAACCAATGGCTCAGTTTGTGGATTTTTTTTCCTCCAGCCTCTGCTTAGTAAGCTACCTGCATACATTAAGGACCCGGGGGACTTTCTACAAAAACGACATCATTTTCAGTCTGTTCCCATTGAATGGAAACTTGTCACGATGGATACATTCTCCCTAAACACCTGTATACCTAACAAGGCGAGTCTCTTAGTAGTTGAACATTTTGACACGCAAAGGAACACATGACGTGCCAACATCATTCATCCTCTCTTGTCTTTATTTTGGAGAACAATATGTTTCTGTTTGAAAAACAGGTGTTTAAACAAATACGTGGAACTGTCATGGGCAGTTCTGCTGCCCCCATGTTTAATATTTGGTGATTCCCCAGAGAAAACCATCGATAATAAAACAATTTAATAGAATTATGGTCTCGTACACCATCAATTATAAACAGATTTCAATCTGTAACTAGTCGCATATATAACAAAAGGAAAGCGGTTGCCTGTGCACAAGGCAGTACCGCACAAGCCAAAAGACGGACAATCTGTATAGTTAAACAGTTGATTTTATTGTGAACTTCATTGCAATTATTGCATCATATCCCGAATCGCCATAAAAGATTGGCAGCGTTGTCATATCCACTCGCATACGTTCATTCATACATACTGACGAGCCCTCAATCATCATGAATGTAATCCTCAATTGGGAAAATAGTTCATAATAGTCCATTAATTGGTATGTTCACTCATTAGCTTATTGTTACCCTCCGTTGAAGGGCTCTACAGGCACAATTAGGCAGTCGTGCATGACCTATAGTAATCGCTGGTAAAACATTCACCTTTTGTTAAACGTGTGGGTGGGTCTCGCTGTCCTAAGTGTAATCATTAACTTGCCAATCTTATTGCCACAAAGTAAAACAGTCTTATAAATGATGGCACCTCCAGAGAGACAATCAAAGCAATTGCAACGTTCCTTCTTTCCTTCTGTACTTGCCAGTTCTCCCGTCACAGTGTAGCCTTTTGGGGTCACGGTGAAATCTGTTTATAGTTGGCTTACTCCAGCATTTCTTTTAGCCTCTCAAGGTGGTGAGTCAGCTTGTCAGATTGAGCTTGTTAACGCGTTTCGCTCCTCCCACTTGGGGCTTCGTCAGAACGTAATGGGTAACAGTCGGTGTGTCTATTTAAAGCCATTTCTTCACCTTACTTCGTTAACCCTTTCATGTATTCTACTAGTACCACAACATGTATGTGGATTTTTTTTTAAAGTTGTTATTAGTGGACTAGAAAATAATACAACCGATTGAACAAACAACCCATATATACTCGGAAACCAAAGCATGCACACTAGGCATCCAATCTTTGCATTATTAATACAACCTTCTATTTGAGTGGCTCCATTATTCTATTTTACAAAAAGACTTGTAGGTTAAATTCAGTGTTTTAATCCAACGTTTGCCAATTTTTTTTTTTGTGGGATTTCCCGAGGAATCCTAGGTCTACAAATTGAAGCTGTATAGAAAACATGTTAAAACTTGGATGAGATATATAGATGATATATTCCTGATTTGGTCTGGTGACACCCAACGTTGCAGTGAATATCCAATCATGAGGTTCCATTTCTTGGTGTATTGATCACTATTTGTGATGACCAATTTGTCACATCAGTTTACTCCAAACCTATAGACAGTAACACATTTGTTACACTACACCAGTGCCCACCCTCAACATCTGTACGATAATTTGCCTATCTGCTCTGACCTCCGGTCACTGCAGATAACGGACATGCATGAGAAATTCCTAGAGAGGGGCTACACCACAAAAGTGATTGACATGGCATTGTCCAAAGCAACAGTAACATTCACGGGGGGTCGGGGGGCGGGGGGGTCCAATGCACTTGATGCGCAGGATGGAATCTCGTTTATTCAGTATTGTATTACTGTATATACACAGAATGTATTAAAGGCGACAGTTAGGAATCTGAATATTCTTCAAGCAGACAGAAACTTGACACCAGTCATCAAAAATAAACCTCTCAAAGTATATAAATGCAGTCATACACTTGGGGACTTTATTAGTACAGGCTGATCCCAGACTCAAATACAGCAAAGAGCCAGTTATGTTTTCTAGTAAATATGGGTGTTTTCACTGCAATGTTTGCAACGCTATTATCTGTGGAGATGCCTTTTTACATCCCCCATAATGGCAACAAGTACCCCATCCATGGTTGGGCATTGGGGTTTTTATATGGGGGGGGGGGTGGGTGGGGGGATGCCTAAAGGTTTACTAACCCTTAACCTGCTCCAAAGGGTAGCAAATAAGTGAAGTTCATTGCCGTGCTTTACATACACTTTGATCCTGTGGTTTCTGGAAGGCATGTAGTCCTTTTGGACACAATATAGACTTAAGCAACCATAAAACATCCTCATCCTGGTCACCTGACTAAAAGATCTTGCTCTTGGAGCTTGCTTACACCTCGAAGAAATGCATGCTAATACCAGTGTGCAAGAAAAAGTCGCACGCACTATCTGCATTGACATGCTCTACATAAAGTAGTGTCTACTGCCTTTTTCTTATTAAAATTGTTTTCTTTTTTTCATTCAGGGGATAAACACAGAAAAGCCCTTCTTGCAAGTTGACAAATATGTGTTTGCAGGGGAATACGAAGGTACAATTCTGGTTGTGTTGTCTGCAGCCAATTTTTGCTATGTTTTAGCACTCTTTGTTGTAGTGTAATGCCAATATAATACATTGTCTGCTTATTTCTAGATGCTCTAGGTACTTGTGTTGTCTTTGAAGAAATTTTGGACCAAGGTAAGTAAAACCTTTATTATATTAACATTGCTTATATAATGTGTCATTGTAAGATGATGGATTGTTTGCCTTTTTAGTTTCTTACAACCTACAAAATTGTAACTTTGAGAAGACACTGTCGCCTTGCCCATGCAAGGCAAAGTGACCAGAGTCTCTGCCCCCACTCACCCAATATCCGCCTTACCATCCCTCCCTCTCTGCTCCTTCTGTTGTGGCTGTCATCAGACGAGGGAAAATGGACCATCATTTCTGAGCTGTGAAAGTTTAAAATTACGTATTCCTACTGCCCTTGTAGTTTCGGAAATGTTTTTAGTTTCCTACATTTCATTAATGCCTGGTGCTTTTTGACTATGCATTGCAAGCAGTGGCGTCACAAGGTGGGTGCAGGGGGTGTGGCCCGCACCCGGGTGACACCATTGGAGGGGTGACACCAAAATGACAGTCATTTTGGTGTCACCCCCCTATGAAAAGTCGGGCACTCGGTCATGGACCGAGAGCCCAACAGTGTCAGGAGAAAGGAGGGGATCCGGCGTCATACCTTATCCTGTCGCTGAACGTCCCATCCTCTCTCTGCCGGCATCCACCGGCAGACGTCAAAAAGACGTCATCAACGCCACGGCGGGGTGTCACCCGGGCTCCGCCCCTGAGTGACACCCAGCCTTGGGACGCCACTGATTGCAAGTATTAAACCGCACATTTTTATTATGTGTAACCACAAATACTTTATAAGCGGGTTGCTGGATGAAGGTCTAATCTTTTGGAACTTGCTGTTGCTGGTACACATTTTAAGATGTGTACTGGTATTTAAAGCAGCGGATAACTTGCCCCACATATCTGAAAGATATCTGCAGCTATCACCAGATCTCTGCTTCATCCAGTCTTCAATAGGAACTACCTGGCTGTTCCTAAAACCTTCCTGAAACACTGTAGTTCATGGGCTTCTCATATTCATCTCCAGCACAGAAAGGTGTTTCTACTTTAGTAACAGAGACAGCCAACCAAACGACTGACTTATTTGGTACCATGCTTGGAATCCTTGAAGGAAAGTTCTACTATCATTATTAGTTGTGACAGTTGTGCTGGCCACTGCGTGTTTGTTGGCTACCAAATTTTTTTTTTTCCATATTGTTGGCTCAACATATTTACCTGTCCTTTCTTATACAGGCGATGGGGATAATGCAAAACCAAAGCTAAAGTATAAATGTCACACTGTAAAAAAACTGAATATGACCAGGACCTTTTTAACAGAAAAGAAAGAAGGTGATGAAGGAGGTCAGTATTTATTTGGAATGATTTAGAACGATTACAGTCATAAATCCTGTTTTTACACAGGGAACATTGGGGGGGAATTTAATAAAACTGGAGCAAACAGAATCTGGAGCAGTTGCCTATGGCAACCAATCAGCATTTCTCTACAATTTGCTCAGGTAAGATTTGGAAATGAGAGAGATGCTGATTGGCTGCAGTCTGCTCCAGTTTTGATAAATCTCCCCCCTACCGTCTTCTCCACTCTCATCTCATCCTCTGTTCCCAGCTAAATGAAAATTAGGGGAGGCAATACTGTGTTTAAATGTATATTAGCAGATTGCTCATGTAACTCTTCTTAGCTCTTATGACATGGAGCTGTTATTCATTTAATTGCCCTTTTTTGAAGCATAGTTACAAATAGAAATACATGTACTGTATTAAAATCGTTTTTTTGTAGATTTTAGTATGCTATGGATCTTGTCCATAAATCTTGTTTCTTGCAGGAGGAAAAATAGAATGGTTCCAGATTAAAGAAGACAGCAATGCTAGCTGGCCTCAGATGATATGCAGCTTTGCTCAAGAAAATGAGGATGCAAATGAGTCTGCAAGTGAGGAGGATGATAGTGAGCACTTGGATGAATCCACTGAGGATATTGGACAGGCGGAGCAGAGTCTTAAACCAGGTGGTAAACAGAACTCTGATTTTGAGGAGAAGGGATGTTCTACATCGGAAGTTAAGAAGCAGTCAGGTTCTGCGGGAAAAGTGCATGAGGAGGAACAGCACATGGACACTGACAAAATAGATGGTGGTACAGACGAACCATCGTGTACAACAGAAGAAGAATTGAGAAATGCACCTGAGGATGCTGGATGTGCTCAACAAGAAGCCCAAATCTGCCATGATTAGACTGCTTGAATGTTGGGGTACTCAGTGATTCTGATTGCCTTTGAAATAGAGTTTATGTATATTCTCATAAAGGCACTGTTAAAAGGGTTTCTTGACATCACTGGCAACTATTGACCAGATATAGGAATTTGTAAACATTTGATTATACTAACTTTATTCTGTGGGATCAAGAAGAAGAATGAATTGACACATTTCCTGAATTATTCTTCTATAGTAAATGGTAAATCCACCTAAACCTATGACTTCATTTTGGGAGGAAGGTGTGACTATTATTATTATTTGTATTATTATACAGGATTTATATAGCGCCAACAGTTTGTGCAGCACTTTACAATATAAGGAAGACAATCGCAATACAATTCACAACAAGATGGTAAGGAGGGCCTACAATCTAAAAGACTATCTGCATTTTGCTTCTTCTTGTTGCTCTGATAGACTCCAGCACTGAGGTCTCTGTGCTGGCATTTTTGGCTTGATCTTTTGTTTTGGCCATTTAAGGAGCTTGGCATAGGTGTCCATTATCCTGCTGCTTTCAAATCAATTCATGAAAAACCTGGAGTGACCAGAAGAACAACCATAGAAGTTGGGTCATGAGACCTGGACATTTTGGCAGCCATTGGGTGACAGAGCATTGCTGTTTTGTCACAAATTGATTTAGTAAAATATAATGAGCTGTTTGTGTTGGGGATTGGTTTACTAAACAAGTAGAAACTATTTTTATTTTATTTTTTAAACAAAGTGTATGCTCCTATGAACATAAATGCATGTAATTGGGTTGAAACTGTGTTCACGAAGAAAACCCAATCGTGTTTAAAAAGAAAAAAAAAAACATGACTTTTAGGAATTTCCTTGGAACACGATTGGGTGTTCATCGTGAACAAAGCTTCATATTATTTACTAACATTTACTTTGCAATGTAAACATAAACTGCTAGGTAAACGGCCTGTACTTGTTTTAGGCACTCAACCCTATTGTTTTCTATACTTCAATAATCCTCATTTGACAAAAAGAAAATGTCTGTATAAAAAAAAAAAACTCTTGACCCACCTTTTACCATTTGAATAGCTAGCTTCTTTTTTTTTTTCCTACCTCCAGTCTGTAGATTAACATTCCAATATCCTGTGCTGCAGGTATGTTCATCTACATCTCCCCTTCGACAGGACAAGCCGACAAAGTGGTTTACAATCATGTAAGCACAATGTCGGCTTTATAGTAATTACATGCAGGCTGGAGGCTTCATTTACAAAGTAAGCCTTCAGCCTGCTAATGGTCCCGCAGCCTGAAGATGTTAGTGTACTGTAATTGCCAGTAACCAATGCAAATGTCACCAGCACGCCAATGTGAAGATTCACATCAGTGTAAATCCATTTTATTGATGTCAAACGACCTGCGCTTTTGGGGCCATGCATAGTCCCCTTCATTAGGCTCAATGTATTTGTCAGACATAACAGTATTAAAAAAAAAAGAGAGATTTAGTTATGCATATTAGTCATATGTTCTAATCAAGATGTATGCTGATTCTGCTAAATTTGTCCAGGGATTTTGGCTAGAGTGACCTCTAGTCAGGGAAAGTGTAAATATCTGTTCATACACTTATATCAGCGCTCACCCGTAAAGAGTATAAGAATGGGAAAAATTTAGAAAGGCTTGTTATACATAGAAGTGTGTGTCTTTCGTATTTAAAATGTACTTCCTATTCATGATGTCAGCCATTTTGTATAAAAAATAAAAATGTCCTTTTTTTTTGGTCTGCTTGAGTAGTTGCTCTGTGTTGTAATTTTATAGGGGACTCTCATTTTCTGCATGTGCTATTGTTGCTGGGTCATTTTAGTCCTTCAGGAAAGGTTCCAATAGTATTGCTGTTGGCATAACTGAAAGAAATACTGCATGTCTATAATTGCTTTTCTATCTAATCTATACATGGAAAAAAATTGTTATTAACTATTTGTGCATGTCTTGAATATCATCTACCTGGATCAAGTGGGCTTTATGCCCACGTGGGAAGCGCGTGACAATGTAATTGAATGTTTTCCATGACACTCTATCCAGGTCAATCCCTCTCATTACTTTCCACAGATGCCAAAACGGCATTTGACCAAATGGACTGAACATTCATAGAACTGGCACTGCAGCAACTGGGCCTAGGGCGTATGATGAGGTCATGGATCAAGGCGTTCTACACTAATCCCTGTGCCCAGGTCAAAGTTAATGGCATCCTCTCTGCACCACTTGTACCAAACGGAACATGTCAGGGTGCCCGCTATACCCCTTGATTTTTATGATTACTAGTAGGGCTCGGAACAAGTGGAACTAGCCTCTCTATTGTGGTGCACGGATAACCTGCCATCGTTTTTGAAGTGTCACCCTACCCGGAGCACCACCTTGGCCATTTGTCAAGTTTTTCCAAAAAGATGATCTATCGCCATCTTCACAAAACCCAGCTTTTTCCACAAAGCCTGGGAGACCCTTGCTTTTAGAAACTGATTCAAACCAGATTCTTTAGAGAGACCCTAAATGTGGCTAGGAGTTGTATTCCCTATATGTGGGAATACAAAGTGCTCATACACAATACCCTCTGATGACCAACCCATTGATATGTGACAGATGCAATCTGGGCTCATTGTAGATAGATAATTTATTGGATTGTCACACAATCTTCATCATTATCACGAATTATACCACAATATTTGATGGAGTTACACTGTTTGTAATCTTTTGGACACCGTATCTCTAAATGTAACATGTAGGTTACCCTGTTCCTGGTGAATGTCAAAACATTTTCTTATTTCTATAAATGGAGAATATACATATCTTAAAAAAAAAACATACAGACACACGTATAACTGTTGCATAGCTTTTTTTGTTGTTGTTTGTGCAAATGCACACCATAATTGTAGTAATGATACTGTTTCACCACAGGGTGTCAGAAATTGTATGGACAATTGTAATAATGCTATTAAAGTTCAGCATCAATCTTTTATCACACTGAGGACGCTGTGTTTGAGAAACCCTGCAAGCCTTTATTATCAAGCTGTAATTCTTTAGGTATATGGTAATAGCATATTCCTTGGCAGAATCCCAATTCTTTTCTCAACTCGGGAAGGTATGCCTAATATTGTTGCGGTTTATAGAGCAGTAAATAAAAAAAATAGGAACCTCTAATTTGTACACTTTTTTTATCAGTAAAAATATATACTGTACACTACCGGTCAAAAGTTTTAGAACACCTCCATTTTTCCTGTTGTTTTTATTGAAATTCAATCAGTTTATTGTCTCAATGTACTCCTAAAAATAAAGCATAGAACAAATAAACAATTGTACATTCACAAGAAATCATGTAATCCCTTTCTTTAAAGGAAAATTATGAGGTGAGTGATTTTCACTCAGCCTCATAATCTGAGCCGACCTGCGACAATGAAACTGTCACAGGTCGGCTCAGTAGATCGGGAAGTGAGCGAACACCACCGATCCTGTGCCGGCAGAGAGCCGTGACAGGGGAGGGACTGGATTCCCCCCTCCCCTTTCTGATCCTCCAGCGCTGACTGGCCGAACGGATGGGGGAGGGGGTGGGTACAGCTGGCTCTGCCTCACGCAGCTGGGTGGATCTAGACATAATTGTCGGGATCAGTTCCAGCTGCGGCGTCTCAGTATACCACGAGCTGTAGCCTGCGGTATACTGAGCTTTGGGTGACGGGAGGACGCTAGTTTGTGTCCTCCAGTTACCCTTAGGAGAACTATGGGGAAAAGCCCTAACCCCATAGTTCTCCTTTAATTAAATGTAATCTAAAGTTTTGACTTATCAAAGTAGCCACCATTGACATATATAAGAGCCGAACACCCTCGTGACATTCTTTCTAAAATGGAAATTAAATATTGTTTGGAATGTTGCAGAAGTTCCCACAAATGTGTTTCACTTGAATATTGCTTCGCTTTCACGCTTCTGTCCAGCAACATTCACTATATTTATTCCCAGAGATATTTTTGTACAAGTCATTCTGAATTGAGAAAGCTTGTTGGATGACTAGTGAAAAGTCTTCAAGAAAAATACAGCAAGTTCAGTCGCCTTGACTTATTTTTTACAGAAATACCATGAACTAGATGAAGGAGAACCTTCACAGACATTGTTCTGTCCAGTTTATCCCAAACCAGCTTGACAGGGTTTAAGTCTGTAGACTGCTGGCCATTCCATGATTTGAAGCCTACTGTCTTGTTTTTTTCTTCTAGGGTAGTTTTGACACGGCCTGGAGGTATGTTTCAGGTCATTATCTTGCTGTAGGATGAACCCCTGACCAACTAGGCATACACCAGAGGGTATTGCTGCAAAATGCTGTGGTAGTAATTTTGGTTCAGAGTGCCACTCTGTGCAAGTCGCCAACTCTGGATCCAGCAAAAGAGCCCCAGACCATCACGCTTCCTCCTCCATGTTTGACAGTTCCTCGGTGTCATACACCGAGGGACCATCCTTTCACCTACTGCACAGCGTACAAAAACCCTACGTGATGAACCAAAGATCTCAAATTTTTATTTAGCGGCCCATAAGACCTTCCAGTCTTCAGTAGTCCACTGGTGGTGCTTCATGGCCCAGGCAAGCCTCCTTTTTCTTATTTTGCCATCTTAGCAATGTCTTTCTTACTGCCACTGTTCCTGTCAAACCTGCAGCTAGAAGTCTTCTTTTCACAGTTGAAACTGAAACTTGCTTACTTCGATCTTTGTTAGGCTGTGCTTGAAGCTGCTGTCTTGTGTGCCGCTTGTCACGCAAGCTGTTGACTCTCAGAAACTTGTCTTCTGATTCTGTTGTGGGTTTGGCTCTGTTAGACCACTTTCTGTCAGTTCCCAAGTGCCTTTTCATGGTGTAGGAAACTGTACTCACTGACACCTTGACTTTCTTTGCAATTTCTCTAAAGGAAAACCTATACTTTTAAGGGTTTTCATGGCCTGCCTATCTTTGTTTGTTAATTGACTTTTTTCTTGCCATTTTGAAACAGGATAAAACTTTGTGCAGTACAATACTGTCCAAATATTGCTTAAGAGGGTGTAGTA